GCCACTTTCTTCAATTAGCATGAGGTGGAAGAACAGTAGCCACTCCAAGGAATTGTTGGATACACCTTTCTATTAGTGGAAATGATTATCACCAACCCATAGCTGATGTTTTAATCTTTTTTGTTTTGTAGTGGGCTCCCTTTTGCTTGGATGCGGATGACGTCAACACCCACTCTCAGAACCTTGACGTCCTTCACAACCGCAGAAAAGATCTGCTGTAGTTAAATTGTTGTATGGCAATCATAGCTCCCTCCTTTCCAGTCTGTCGAAAAACCTTCGATCAGCCACCCCTTCAGATCTTAACCGTTCCATCGTTATCAGCTTAGGCCTTTGCCTCTGTCAGTAATTGATGATTTCTTTATGTGCTCTCCACCAGTTTTAAATGTCATTTTCTTTGAGCCAATGATTTGAGTTCCTGGCAACAAAAAACAAAAACAAAAACAAAAAACAAAAAACAAAAGAGTCTTCTCACTCTCCCTCTGGTCCACATCAGAGGAGGAGGGAGGGTATATGAGATATGGAGGTTTCAGCAGCCGTCCTTGTATTGGCTTATGATATTTCATTCGATAATATATTGCTCTAGTGTTATGTTATTGGTTTTATATTGGCATGGGTTGATCTAACACATTTAGTGGTTTACATCCTTTCTTTCTTTCAGCTTGGCATGAGAAAGAATTCAGTGGGTGTAGGTGCCAGTCTCAGTACTGTCAAGTACGATGACCAGTTGTGATTAATCTAGATGTATCGGGTTCAAAGAACTTGGGTTTGGCAAGGTGGCAAGGAGAGAGAAGGAAGATGAGCTAAAAGGTGTACTCTCCGGGTAATATAGACATGAGAAGGAAACATAAGAAGCAGGCAAGTTGCATCGTTCAGTCCCCATCTGCTGCGACCTCTGGAGTAGTCTTCCGACTTGAGAGTGTTTGGCCGTATTTGTGGAGACAATTCTGTGCACGTGCATCGGACCCTACGAGTTCACCCGTGGGCCTACGGCTTCGTTACACCACATTGTTGATTCGCATAAGATCCATAAGCCAACAGACGCATGAAGCCAAGTTGGGCGACATCATATCTCTCTCGTGGTTTCTTTCCTTGAACCCCTGATGCTCTTAGGCCGGCCGGTGTTACTATTTAGTTTGGGCGGATATTACGTTGTTGTTCTGAGATTGTCAGAATTATATGTGAATCCGTGCAAGAGTTTGGGTTTTCATCAGAAAGTATAATTAGTCTTCCTAATCAAGTCCTTGTTGATTCTAGGAATGAAAACAGGTCAGGTTTCTTCAAATATTCATCAGATCTATCCGACCTATTTAAACCGAGCTTGTGTGAGTATCGTATAATTGAGTTTGAAACAAGTTTAAATTTTTTTTTTTAAAAAAAAAGATATTCTAGTTGAGTTCGAGTTTGAAAAGTTTTAATATTGACTGATCCAATCAAGGATTGGTATGGGACAGTATAAGCTGAAATCGGTTGATCTTATTCCTTACTATTTTTTATGATGTCAGGATACATGAGATTGGTATATTGTCTGCACTGCAAACTGTCATAATATTGACTGCATGGAGCAGTCTTTATGGTTTAAAGTGCACTGCAGACTATACAGACCGACGAGAATAGAGTCAAATTAAATAGACTCCGTAATCCAGAGCAACTCATCATGGGGACATCATCCATTGACCTAGTCTTCTTCGCACTCATTGCAGCAGTGCACTCTACAAACACATGTTCAGGAATAGTGCTAAGCTCAACCACACACCAAATCTTTGTGTTTTCTTTAAGATTATTATAGTACATGTGTTTGTTTTTTCTTTGATCAAAGATAAAAGGGTGAAGATGAGATTTGATCGCAATATTTTACTATCAATGGTTATTTTTTTTACTGAAGTTTAATATCTTTCATTTATTAGATAATGTCTCAAACTCTCAACTATAACTGTGTCATGTCACTTTCTTGTTGAATGCCAATCCTCTGAAGGTGGTAAGGGATCATGTTAGATATTAGGTAAGTGATATAAACTGCTTGGCTTAAAAAGTCATTATCGATGGATCCTGTTTTGTTAGATAAGATTGTGGTGGAGTTAGTTTTGTTTTTGCGAGATGCATGGTCTCCGGTGGCAAGATGATATGGAAAGGAGACGCAGCTGGCCGCGAGACTAATGGGACCAAGGAAGGTCAACAACAAGTTTTTTAAAGAATCAATGTTATTCTTAAAAGTATATATATATTGGATATCTTAAGCCTTCGTATAAAATGTATTTCGTGATTATTCAATCAATTCTTTAACCTGATTGGTAGTAGTATTTAATTAAAGTATTTGTGTAGTTATCCATTCTTCATTTAGACTTCATATATTTGACTTGTGGGTGTTAAAACGTATATAGAGTCCTTTCCCTAAAGCTGAATCTTTTGGGGATTTTTTAGTTAGTAAATCAAATCTTTAAGAGTTATTGTGATCAAAAGAGATGATGCAAATCTTATCAGGGTGCTTCAAGGTAAAAACAAGTTGGCAGGATGTGAATGTATACAGTGACATCTTTCTTTTATTAAGATTTCTTAATGGTGTGTGAAATGGAGGATAGATAATATAGTTGTCAAGTGGATTACATCTTCTCATAACACCTTATTGTGAAGAGAGAGAACTTTCCTAATGATTTTTTATTTTTTAATCTTTTATCCTCAGACACATAGCAGAATGGCTAATTAAATATTATCTTTTGGAAAAAAAGAAAAAAGAAAAGAAAATTCTTTCTTTCGTTGTGCAGATCTGAAATCATTGAAAGTCTTACCCGACGTTGAAGTCTCTCCCAACGGCGACATCTACCTGAGATTTCTCTTCCCTCGATTCATATGGGTACGGGGTGCTGTTTCTGGTCAGGCTGTCATATTATTACTTTCTGATCCGGTTGATGTTTACGACCAGTCAAGACAGTCTATGATGGCCGACCCGACAAATCTTTCCCAAGAGTTCAACGATTAACTTGAGAAACAAGTGGCCTTTCCATATTGTCCGTGATCCAATCATGACATCTTCCTCACTGCCTGGATTTGAACTTAGATTCTCCTATTCGAGGCAAATAGAACTGTTGCTGTCTTGTCGAAAAGAGGATCATTGCACGAGCTTCTCGTCAATGCATAGTATCATCAGGTATGCACGAGCAGTCTTATTCTTACCATCAGAGAATATATTTATCTTTTTTACATCGAGACTCGTCCCTTAAAGCACAGAGTACAACTCTTTTAAGAAAAGGAGCTGCAAACGCTACACCGTTGAGTGTCCAAAGAATGACTTGGTATTTGCATTGCAGTTACAATAGCTGTTATGTTTAAAGATGCATGCAAAAAGAAACCAATGAAAATGTCTTGGAGATAATAATATCGTATTTGTTGTCTTATTGAATAAGCATTCTACTGAGCTGCTATTAAGCAAATTAATTAATATTATTGCTCGAAACAATTTTTCTTTTGAATTGTAGTTCTAAATGCTGCACGTACCAATTTCTCTATTTATTAGATATTATTATAGTCTGAACTAATAATATCTATCTATCTATCTAGGGACCTTGCAAAATATCAAGTGGAGGTGGGCAGGATAGGCTGCCATGTGTTCCTAGAAAATGACATGGGCTGTTGATATCACTTGGCATCCCTCTTTTAGGATCCATGAAGGGACATTGGCGCACTATTATCACCATAAACTTTTTTCTTCACATGAGTTGGGGATGTGTGTAAATATCTTTCTTCCCATAAACTATTTTCCTTGTACAAATACAATGCATGCATTCGATCGTTGTCAATATATATCAACGCTTCTCAACATTCTCACAGCACCATATACTTGTGTGGTCCTCGTGATCACATCGCCTAACCCCCCCTGTATGAAGTTTTCTAGGTATTATATTGTTTCAGTACCATAGGATATGATACCAAAACAGTTGAGATGGCACATAACATGTTCATTATAATTAATTAGGTTTCTTACAGTGACTGCTAACTTTTTTTTAGCTGTATGGTGGATTTCAAAGTGAGTTCATCGGTCATCATTGATGTTAAGTCACCAACTGGGGATTCAATTCGCATGCTGCATCATGTCTCTTCGAAATCGACGACTAACCAAATGGAGAGGAATTTTGGACATGCGAATTGAAGTTTAATGCAGACCACAGCGAGAGAGAGAGAGAGAGAGAGAGAGAGAGAGAGAGAGAGCGAGAGAGAGTGAGCAAACAACAAGCACAGGTCTAATCTTATTGAATAATGATGACAACGATTTCATAGTCATGCAAGTTTTCAGTTGACAGTAGCATCACCGAGAAGAAGATGCACTGTGGATGAGTCAGAAACGAAGAACATCCTAGTACATGTTAATAGGAAAACAAATGTCAGATGAAGTACATGCCCAATGTTCATATCGAGGAAGAGGACTTTTGTCACAATAGATGCATATAATGTGAGCATCATGGTTAGGCAATCTATCGTATTCATCTATTGGTTCCTGTAATCTTAGTATGATGTGTGATGACAAAAAGACTATTTAGAAAGAGAAGTGGCTCTTGTCCTTTGAAAACCAGAATTCACTACATGAAAGAAAAAAAATAGGAGGATGATTTCCATGTTCAGCTGCACCCTCATGATTTTGATAGCCATCACGGGAAGGGGGATGAACGAGTCACCTTGTCACATTCAGATTTATGTGGTGAACGAATCAGTGGACATGAGTGTCACCGTTATTGGCCATTCCTGGAGATGAGAGATGCTATTATATTATCTCAGGTTTAGGTTGTGTAAATGAACTTGGATCAGGGTTGGCCATGGCTGGGCCCCGTAGACATACATAGGTTAACATTTGCAGGCACCATATGGTGTCTGCTATTAGCCGTGTGCTACTGCTACTGCCTGCCCACTTAGTCCTCTGAGATCACAAGCACAAAAAAGATAATTATACTTAGCTTGCTATTGCCAACCAAATCACTCCCTCCTCCCTATATATAGGAGTGCCATTCCACGCCACTCTTCGTATTAAACACCACCACCGAGTCATCTTGTGCTCTCTCCAATAGTACACCAGTAGTAGCATCCACATCACTTGTAACTCTCACTCTTCTTTCTTCCCTCTCTGTCTGTGATGAGAACCCACTCGGTAAGCAGCCTCCTGTTGCTGATGTTGTTCCTTGGGGCTGCTAACCAAGCGTCATGGCTCTTCCTCTTCCTTCTCTTCGCTCTCTCCTTCCTCTCCCCCCTGTTGTTCACCATTTGGCTTGTCCCCGGCGGCTTTGCATGGCATCGATACTCCGGTGCCGGGTCGATCGCCCCCGGCCCCATCGGGTGGCCCTTGCTCGGTTGCCTCACCCTCATGGGCCCGCTGGCTCATCGCAAGTTGGCTAAGCTCTCCAAGTCCCACCGCGCCGCCCACCTCATGGCTCTCAGCCTGGGCGCGACGCCGGTGGTCGTCAGCAGCCACCCCGACACGGCCCGGGAGATACTCCACGGGCCTGCGTTCTCCGACCGCCCCGCCAAGATCTCGGCCCGGATGCTGATGTTCGAGCGGGCCATCGGCTTCGCTCCCGCCGGCGACTACTGGCGCCACCTTCGCCGTGTCGCGTCGACCAGCATGTTCTCCCCGCGGCGGATAGCGGCCTTGGCGAGCCTCCGGCATCAGGTGGCCGGCAGAATGGTGAGTAGAGTTTGGAAGGAGATGGAAGGGACGGGGTTGGTGGTGTTGAGGGAGCTGCTGCAGGAGAGCTGTTTGGAGAACATGGTGGGGAGTGTGTTTGGGCTGTCACTGGGAGAAGCGGAGACGAAGGAATTGGTGGACATGGTGAGGAAAGGGTACGAGTTGATAGGGCAGTTCAATTTGGAGGACTATTTCCCTCTGGGTGGCCTTTTGGACTTGTCTGGGGTGGGAAGAAGGTGCAAACACTTGTCTATTAGGGTCAAGGATCTTGTAGGTAAAATTGTGGAGAGGAGAAGGCAGGGTGACTACCGCATGCAGGATGACTTCCTCAGCCTGTTGCTTAGCTTGCCGAAGGAGGAGACCCTAAGTGACACGGACATAATAGCAGTGCTCTGGGTGAGCTCTCTCTCTCTCTCTCTCTCTCTCTCGCTCTCTCAATCAATCAATCAATGAATCAATCAATCAAACAATGACACAGACACACACATACAGCTTGACAGTTGTTTGATGGAAAACATTGTTTTTTAGCTCCTGCATGGTTTGTTGCACTAGGAATATTTCTTGTCAAATATATAATATTGTGAATACTAAGATAGCCGAGAAGCCTTTTCAAGGGGAATAGACCTAATGAGTTCTCAACCAAGTAGTAGCTGACGCTAAGCCCCTCCCCGTTGGCTTCTGACTCGGGCAGACAACAGGCTTCCTCCTTCCACATTTATTGGGAAAGAGACCTGACGACGAGGTCTTTGTCGTCGCACCAGGCTATCAATTTTCTTCCACTATTCACGGAACTGCCGCCTGACCACAGTTTGTATCAAAGAGTTGTCCTACTTAGACAACCGATGTAAATTGATGAACCATTTCCACATGCTGTAATGAACAGGAGATGGTATTCCGGGGAACAGATGCGGTTGCTGTCCTCTTGGAGTGGACTATGGCCAGGATGGTCCTGCACCCAAGCATCCAAGCCAAAGCCCAGCAGGAGCTCGACGCCGTGGTCGGAGGCAGGCCGGTCGAGGACTCTGACACGCCGAAGCTGCGGTACCTGCAGGCCGTCGTCAAGGAGGTCCTCCGGATGCACCCGCCGGGGCCGCTGCTGTCATGGGCGCGACTGGCGGTCCGGGACGTGCTCGTCGGCAAGTACTTCGTGCCGGCCGGCACGACGGCGATGGTGAACATGTGGGCGATAACCCATGACGAGTCCAATTGGGAGGACCCGTGGGCCTTCCGGCCCGACCGGTTCCTGGAGGCGGACGTGAGCGTTCTGGGCTCCGACTTGAGGCTGTCGCCTTTCGGGTCGGGGCGGAGGGTGTGCCCGGGGAGGGCTCTGGGCGTGGCCACCGCTCACCTGTGGCTTGCGAGGCTTCTGCAGCAGTTCCGGTGGACCGCCGGCCGCCCGGTGCAGTTGTCGGAGCGCTTGCGCCTCTCGCTTGAGATGAAGAAGCCACTGGCTTGTCGAGTGGTCCGGCGAGGTCGTGTTGATGTCGAGTAGATGCTTGTGATGATGCTTTGTGATGGTATATACTTGTGATGTGGTGCAGCGTGAGGGAAGGGAAGGGATGGAGGGGTGTATGTAGCGCATGGGGGAGGTGGGTATGTGATTTTGTTTAATGTAATATAGCACAAGAAAATGGATGGAGATGGAGGCTTGAATCTTGTAAACAATGTACTGCTGTTGATATCTTCTATGTCATCTACTCACTTGGCCCTTATATGGTAGAGAGATATTAATGAGAACATGTACCTTGCTGATTGCAGTGCATGGATGCGATGGGATGGGGTGGTGGGTGTTAGCGACTTTGTTTCATGTCAAGTG